TAGCAATGCCCTTCATCTATCTCAGTGAGGAATAAATCACTGAGCCATGACTGATAGTAATTGATCTATTCAAAGGAAAACTGCCACACAAAATCTGGTCACTGAGGCTTGCCCTTATCACAATATGCCCTCATCAGATTAAAGCGGCTTGCTTTAAAGAGAAAATTATCCATTAAGCCGCTGGACGTCAGTGAAATCTCTAGGGTGGAGAGGATTGGTTATCTGACTTAACATCCAACGCCAACACTTAATGTTATAATAACAGTGATTCATTGGTGTCCACCTGGTGGAAAATGGCGGGAAAGATGTTTCTATCAAAACCCAGTCAATGAGTGCAGCTGGTGCCTGCATTTATCCAGCCTGTTCTATATATATATATATATAATACCAGGCAATTAATCTTGCTATGACCTGGCTATGTTATACAACTAGTGCATGAAAGACCAGTAGGATGTATAAGATGGGATTAGAGATTGCTGATAAAGGAAAAAAAACTCATGCTCTTGGCTATCACTTTCCTTCAGGGAAATTTACCAGTTTTTGTAAGTTTTATACAGAATTCAGCAGTTTTGTTAAGTTAGCATGTACTTCTCTTTTCTACACAAAGAAGCAAAAAAGACAGCACCATGCTAGTGCCAGATCATATAGCATAATTATTGTATCATATTCTGGTTTTGTGACACGTGTAGTGAAAACAAGACATAATTTCACAATAGACCATCAAACAATAGAAATAACACATGAATATAATTATTTAGGGATAAAATTCAAACCGAATGGATCATTCAAAAGCGCACTTGATGATCTGAAAGGTAAAGCCATGAAGGCGGTTTTTGCAGTTAAGCAGGCTTTACAGTCCACCACCCACAATATGACCCAGACACATTTAAAACTCTTCGATGTCCTTATAAAACCCATACTGATGTACGGATGCGAAATCTGGGGACCATCAATCACATCTAAAAGCATAAAATCTCTTAAATACATGAATACTTTGCCATTTGAAGTAGTACAAAATAACTATTGCAAATACATTATAGGTGTGAGGCGCAATGCCAGTAATATAGCAGCTAAAGCAGAACTAGGTAGATTCCCAATTACACATGACATAATTGGTCATGCTACATCCTACTGGCAAAGATTTTCTGAAATGCCAAAGCAGCGCTTGGCAAAAACAATGTATGAATATGAAACAAAACATGATACACAGGTAAAAAATTGGTCAAGGGAAATCAAATACATTACTCAAAATCTAATGAAAACACAGACTAATACCCCCTCGAAAGCAGAAGTAAAGAACGCACTGGAAAGTCATTATACCCTTTTGTTTCTCAAAGAAATAGAGCGAGAAAACAGCATACTACGTACATATCGATTATTTAAAACAAATTATGAAAGGGAAGCGTACACAACAGCACCTATACCAAAACATGAAATGCAAAATTTGGCAAAATTTAGAACAGGGGCACATGACTTAGAAATCCNGATTTTAACAGACTATAGCCATCAATGGAGGTCACGTGGTCTAAAGACAAGCTCAGATATCAGAATAATAGCTATAACTGCCGTTTTTGTGGTAAAACAGAATATATTATATTTCTATGAGTTATTCACAATGTTTTTATTGTGAAATATAGATCTCATACGAAGAGTTATTATCCCTTTAATTTCCCCTTTTAATTGATGCCATGATACAATTGCTTGAGAGATATGCTGGTTTGATGAATCAAAGGCAAGATGGATTTTTAAAGATTTCAGTCCAGAATAAATCTGAAGTATAGTTCAATGAAATAAACATTTGATAAAGGTAAGAAAGGGAACATATTGCCTCTTCTCATAGAAAATTCAATTAGGCACAGAAATATGCTTTTCAGTTTGGTTACTTATAATCATTTCTTACTTTTTGTAAAAATGGGCCTGATATTCTCAACCAAGTAGACAACCACTGATAACTGACTGATAATTTTTCAGTCTTAAAGATAGTTGTGACCAACTTTCAACTCAAGTTCTTCCATGAGACCTGTGCTTTCCCAGTGCAGTTAGTGCAAACTGCATGTGGTTCTTCCCTCTCACTGGGCATGGGGAGTTGGGACAAAAAATAGAGGATGCCCACCGTGAACAGTTACACAGAAAATTCACTCTTCCTCATCCAAGATCTAGTACATTTTTCTGACACACCATCTTTATATCTAGCTATGAACCTTTCACACCAGATTTTTTTTTTTTTTCGATAGAACAGTGTTTGGAAAAGAGGCTTAACATGAAGCACCAATTTTTTTTTCAAATGCCAGGTTTATACAAGCAGATCTGGTGCCTTTTTTTACAAAATAACTCAATCTGAATATATGTCTTTTCACTTCAACCAAACATTTGGTTGACTCCACAGTAAAACCATGGTGTTCGTCAGAAACATTAGACACATCCTTCTCAGTTGAAAACTGGTGCACTGTTTCACTTTAACTGAACAACTACTGATTTACCCTGGGTCAAACCAGATTGAAATTACGGTCTAAAACTATGAGACCAATCTCTGGCTAGAGTTCATTTCTGAAACGGGTCTTAGCCAATATCCCAAGTGAACTCACTAAAGTAAACCTGTATGAACTTACATACATTTTGGAATATATGACTAACAGGTGTGCAAAAAACCTCTGTGGACGGTTCACCTGATATCACGGTATTGATCCATATTGCCAAATTAATAAGGTATGGACAGGTAATTGTTCCAACATGGTTATAGTGGGTCACTCTATTATATGTTTATCACCTCCATCCAAGGTAATACAAGATTCTAGTGCTGAGATTAATAGTATATACAATGTATAAATATCATATACAAAGTATCATATGTCATGTACTGGTATACTGCTACTGGGCAAAATTTATTCATGCCAACCACAAATGAAAGTTCACACTTTTATAATAACCAATTGTCAAGAAATCAAAAATAGTAATTTGACTTAAGAAAGGGTTACATATTTCACTACTTTTTGTCTTGCAAAATATAATCATTCTGAAACGAGCCCTAAAAGATGCCAATGTAAAATTCATGAAAAAGGCACCGGAGACAACAGTATGTATCTATAGCCCTGTGGTCCATTGTTGAAAAAGAGAAATGTATCTAAAGCCATTTATTTCAACTTGATTAATGTTGATGAACTGGCAGTATTGTATAATACAAATACCTGAAAGGAAAAATATTTGTCTGGAGGAGAAGCAATGGTAGATGATGACAAAAGGAGATACCTGCATGAACATCAAACAGGTGATGGCCACCAATCTGTTATGTTATGGTTCACGTGACTTCCCACTCTCAAGTGCACTTCTTTATGTTCCACAATTCATCATTCTCTAGCACAACTGAATGGACTGTCCAACACTATAGCTTATATTAACTACTGGGGATGAAAATATGGCCTTATCTTAAAGTGTGTAAATTTTGGTCTCCATCAAAACAGGTTTAAGTCGTAGTGGCCCTCTCAAATAAATGAAGTGTAATTTCCATTTCTCTCATTTTCATAAAACAGGTCCAATATTTTATTTTAATGGACTGACTACTACGGAATTACATTAAGTCAAAAAAAATGTTTTGTCTAAAAGTTTAGACCAATATTTGGTCTGAAAGGGGAAGATATCTGTTGCTATAGTAGAGCTCATTGCACCCACAGCAAAGTTGCTAAACATCAACGGCATCTTTGTTGTAAAAGACATAATTTACTATAGATATACAACCTGTGGCATTAATACCCTTTTAATAATCCCTGCTTCTCTCGTTAACCCCAACAGTGACCAAACTATGAAGAAAATGACTCAAATTTATCTTTTTATACCTTTTTTAGAGCCCAGAAAGTGGCATTCCCCATTTTTTGTTTAACTAACTCCTGAACTTCCATATAACCAAGCAGCAGACTTCGTAGTCATCATAAATAATGTATCTATACTTAAAATGACCATTGTTTGTTTCAAGTTGTTTGTTCAAACAAAGTTGACTACAAGGCTGTTTGTCTATTCCTTCTTCAGATCTTTCCCATGATTGATTCTTATTGTTTATTTTTGTCACCAACAAATTAAAGCAAGAAGTTACACTGAAGTATACTTAATGTGTCTTACCAATGCCTGCAATCAAAGACCTCACAAAAAAAAAACATGGACGAGACCATTGAGAGATTGCAATTAAATGAAAAAGTCAGAAAAAATAAGTTGTAAACAATCCTTTAATCTAATTGCATTCACCATGAGTCCTGACTGAATCCTAAGTAGCTGTTGGCAGAGAAGGAACCTCCTACAAGTCTAACAGAAGCTGCAAATCTGTTTATCCACAAAATTCATTTTCAGTACAAACAATCTTTAATCTTTAAACATTCAATAACTATGACATGCAAATATTTACTGCTGGTGTGGGTCACCATCTGAAGCAAGCAACTATACTATCTCCCATTAAAAATACTGGACTACGTCCTTGTACTTTTGCCACTCTTTATCATCACTATTTCTGTGCAAAAATAATGAATTTCCATTAACTCATTGTGTACACTTAGGTTCACGACACACAAAAACCATGCTTGTTACATAACACACTGATATATTGCACCCAAAACAACCCATCTCACACTGTAAGAGGTATGCTCTACACTACAATACTATGCATCCAAATTCCACTCTCTGGGTGAGAAGGGCTTTCAAGTTATAAGATCTGTTTTCCAATAAAGGCTACCTGGAAGATGTCCAATAGAGCAAAACCATCGGGGAAACCTATATCTTACTTGGGTTTTTTTCTGTTGAGCAAACCCACCAAAAACCCATCTAAAATCCTCATCATGTTTGGTTTTTTAACAGAGCAACCTACATTTTGCTAGGTTCCCCTATAAAACAAACCCTTTCAGTTTTATTTTATTTCATTGTGCACTTTCTTTCTTTCCACTGCACATACATGTGCTAATCTGACAAAACAAGCCTCTTAAAATAAAATGTTTATCAAGTGAAAAAAAAACAGTACTTACTTATTGGGGTTCTTTATTTCTTCAGTTACAAAGTTCAAATAATTCCTGCAAGAAAATGAGAAAACTAATTCATTTGTAAGAAAAGGAGGCCAATTTTCTTTGTCTTTATCAAAGCTAATGGGAATCAGTGTCAGGGAATTTCCTGAGAATCAATCTTGAAAATTCAATCATTTTTTCTTCCAAAGAAGTCAATACCCTTAAAAAACAAAAAAAAATACTTTCTCAGAAAAGCTGTATTTACCTCAATTTGTATCTACAAAAAAGGACTTTCAACTGCACATAAAATTCTGATTAAACACGGAATAGGCACATGATTGCATTAAGGACATATCCTTTAAATATGACACCTTTCCTCATCAAGCATTACATTTAACTGGATCAGTCCACTTGGAGAGACTGACAACTTAATATCCTGGCTAGTAAATAAGAGAGCTAAGCATACTGCTCTATGTGAAAAGGGTCTAGTACAATACCAGAGTGTCCGGAGAACAGCTGTATAAAATGAGCAATACCATAAAATAATAATGGGAGGAACAAATCCTATCAATAAACAGGCCCATAGCCAGGGGGGTTCGGGAGGTTCGAAAGAACCCCCCTTTTTGCTGAAAAAAGATCCACTCTGGGTAAAATTTGACATAAGTACATGGGGATTTTTCGGTAAAAGGTCCACTTTTTCAGAAAAAGACCCCCCCCCCCTTTAAAATTGCTGGCTACAGGCCTGATAAATTTTCCAATATGTAATCAACACAACTTCAAAACTGGGCAGTGATTCATAATAGGGGAAACAAAAGATGATGCGATGATGGATCACTTTTGGTTGATTCTTTTCTGAGTAATACTTCATTCAGTGTAACACAACTTACATAACAAACATAATGATTATCTTTCAGATTTTCGCTCTGTAGAAAAATTATATTCCAAACTTCTAATTTAAGATATATATTTTTGGAATGACAAATTATGTATGGTCATCTACTTCAAAAACATATATATTCTCAACTACTGACAGTTTTCTTCTTATTAATTTTAGCTACAAGGGTGCTCCTGCATGTACCACTAGTCTCCAGTTTTATGTTTAGTGGATAAATGACAAATCAGGTGACTGAGCAAAACGAACTGAATTTATGACACAAAGGGAGTAATTTTTGTCAAATGCCGAAAAGGTGTTGTCTGAACCATGGTTATGAAATAGTGGTAATTATTTTGCAAATTAATCATCAATTTCTAAAAAGTATGCCTAAAGAATCCTACAGGACTACAGAGATATAAAAGTTCAGATTTCCGTTCATAGATAGAAGAAATTATGTCTTACCATCCAGTATATGAGAAGAAGCCAGAGAAGAAGGCTAAGCCGTAGTCTCCAGCTAGGTCTGAGGAGCCTTCAAAGGCATTCTCAAAACTTTCTGTATGTCCTAAAAGTAAATAAATAAATAAATAAATAAATAAATAAATAAATAAATAAATAAATAATTAATTAAATATATAAATAAATAAGTACATGAGTACAAAAAACTGGTGATATTGTGAATCTTCCACAGAGTTAAGAAGACAGGGGGTATTAATTCAATATATTATTATTTAACCAAAATCTCCTCTGCAATAATTAAATAAACATGATATAGTATGACCACTGTATAGGTAGATTGACCACTGTATAGATAGGTTGACCACTGCACAATGTCCAGTGAAGAGAAATGGTCATGACCATTACACATTGTCCAGTACTTAACTTTGGTCACAACCAGACCAGGAAAATATATATCCAATTTAAAGCACAAAGTTCTAGTATTGGTAAAAATGTGTTTTCTTTTGTCACTCACCCATGGCAAACCTGACAATGCCTGTGATGATGATAATAGCTAAGGCTAACAGCTTGGCTGCGGTGAAAAACACCTGGACTTTGTTAGCCCATTTTACACTGGCACAGTTCACAAACGTCAACAAACCTAAAAAATTATAAATCGTAAAATATTTTGTAACTGTTTAAAATGTGAAGTCTAATAAAATATATGATGGGAATTGTCATTTTGTTGAGTGAATCATGGAAGAATTGACAAAACATATGTAGGTGAAGATTCAATTAAATATTACCAAAACTAATATGCAGAGACAAAAAGACATCACAAAACAATTTTTTTTCTATATTTCCATAATACTTTTTAACTGCAAATACATGGGTATATCACTCTTATGAATGTGACTTAAGCCAAATAGAATTTTTTCAATCAAAAGAACAACAAATTGACAATAAAGAAATAATCAATACAATATTTTCTTAAACAGAAATAAATAACCATTAGCATATGAGAAAACAAATATATACACTTTGGCAGACACAGGGGGAGGGACAGTGGGTCATATGCACCCCTCCCCCTTCCTTAGTCACTAAAATACCACCCCCTTAAATATATAACATGTGTAACAAAACAGAACAAAGCAATTTTTCCGTCCCTTCACTTTACATTTTAGAATTTAACGCCCTAAGGGTACATTTTTTTCTTTGTCCCCCCTCCCCCCCCCCCCAAAAAAAAAAAAGGAAATCTGGAATCTGCAGTATATACAGTAGCTGCTTCGTCCCATGCTGTTTACAGTGCCATGTGATTGTAATAAGATGGCCGAGTGCCAAATCTATGTGACCTGGACAACTCACCTGTGGCATTGTTTGAACAGCAGGTGTTTACAAAATATCAGTTATATCTACACATTATGGCTAAGTCCTCAGTTTTATTTGATGCAGTGTAACAGTGAAGCTGAACTCTCAGTTGTCCACATACATGTGTCATAGTGATGATTTCACAGCCAAATTTCATTTTTGAAACTGTCATATTTAAATCAGATTATATTTATGTTTGGTAAAGTTTGTTCAGATGTCTCAGTTATAATGATATTACATGAATTTGTTTATGTATTTTACTTATTGGAAATTACTGTAACTTAGTTTTAAAGGATGTTTCCAGTTTTAAAAGGACTGAATAACTTTCAGCTCCTAGAAAAAGTTTAAATCAGTCTTAATTTAATTATGTTAAATGGGCATACAAAGCAGTTTTTAGCTGGAAATTATTCACAAAAACAGCACTTTCACAGCCTCAAACGCTCCAAATAAACAAGATCTATTTCAAATTTAACGTCTAACACGTGCCTAATACGTAGAAATAAAGAACTGAAAATCGCATTTACATCCCGCGATTGTAACATACCTTGCGTGCCACATGAGTTAGATACTAGCGGATAAATGAAAGGGTGGGAAGAAGTGTGGGAAAACCGATTTTCCATTGGTGAAGGACGAGTGAGCAGGCGTACCACGTGACTGCCCTAATTTAACAAATCAATGCAGCGGATGATGGGAAGAAAAAACTTTTTAGCACATAAGAGGGATAAAAAGCAGCAGAAAGTACGACACAAAACTTCCACGAATAAAATTAGAATTTTAACAGAGAGGGCAATGGTATGTCGACAGTAAATAAGACTTTTAAAGTTCGAAGACCTTGCACTGAGACAACATCGAATAATGCAATGGCCACACTGGTTAGGAAGCCCTGATAGTATTAGTAGTAAAAGGTGTGTGCGCAGTGAATGAAATGTGCGCACGCAAACCGTTTTCGAAGACAGCAGAGCGTAAAACTGAACGTGAAGAACGAACAAAAAACAAAGTCGAAATCGCTGGATTGTCCGTGCTGTCTTTAGAGACTACAGATCTCTTAGCCAGAAAAATAAATGTAGAGAATCTGAGATCAGTCAGTCTGTAGTTGATCTCTGGAAAACATATCACTGACGTTGTGTTACCTGCTGGAGAAGAAACTCGGACCAAGTGTCCCCTGTGATACATCATCCTATAGCACTCAATTTTTTTCCCCTCTAAAACCCCAGCCTGACATTATGTCTGACATTAAAAATCTCTTATCAGACATTTTTTGATCATGTCAGACATTTGAAAGGCATGTAATTTTTCATGTTTTAATAATATAGACCAGTCCAATAACAAAAGAAGCAGAAAAGAGTGCCTACACCAGGTCCACTGTGAAACAGAGCCCTCATTTTTCAGCATGTCACAGAGAGAGAGAGAGAGAGAGAGAGAGAGAGAACGATGCCACTGTGTCTGCACTATCGACACTTGTTCACCCCATACCTGTCTAAACTGGCCTGAACCGGTTCAGCAGTGGTAGGCTTAACATGTAGTAGTGGGGTATACACATTGGTGTCATTTTTTTTTTACTACACATTTGACTTGTTTGGGAGAATCTGATTCAGAGTCCAAGTGTGGATATTCTTTTTGAGTTCAAAGCAATCAAGTAAATTCCAGTAGACTATGCATTTGCTTTCAATTATTAAAAAACTGCACGAACAACATACTAAACCCCAGAATTGCGCAAGAAGGCTAGAAAATGCTTGTTAGGGCAAGACTTACAAGTATCAATGCAGGACCTATCTTTCGCGCTGAAGATCTTCAATCAGTGGTAAAAAGCATGTACAACTGGGCGAGGACTAAGTATTTTAAATGCTCTGTCATCCAACAGTACGGACATTGTGACTGACATGCTGACGTTGCATGTCGGACATTTTCAATTCATGATGGACATGTCCTGCAGTCTGAGTTTTTTAGGAATATTGAAACGCTATCATTGTTGTAAACACTATTGTAAACTGTGCTTAACACAGTGGTAAACAAGAAAAAATAAAAAGCATGTGAATAAATTGGAGCGTTTCATGTTGATTATTCCAACTTTTTGTTCCCAATAGCACTTTAAAATCATATTTTGTCAATGATAAAAATAACCTTTTTTTGTTACATATCACATAATTCATACATCAGTTATTGTCATTTGATAATAAACAATAATTATCCTCAAAATCTCTTTAGGAAGTGACCATTCCATATGCCAATACTTACACAAGCATGCAGCAGCCAAGAGCCGTGTGGGGATTTCTGGATTCGGACAATGAGGAAAAAAAGGCTGGATCATGTAGTTAGCAAAAGTCAGTGCTATGATAGCATTACTGGTCGGAGTAATTATAACTAGTAATACCCACAAGAAGAGAAACCCTACAAAATTCCCAAAAGAATGACGGATATATGCGTAGTCCGCGCCTGAGATTAGAATAAATGTTCCAAGTTCAGTATAACACATGGCTCCAACCAGGGAGACCACACCGCATGCCGCCCATAACATGAGGGATGCTCCCACCGAACCTGAGTATTGAAGAACGCCTTTTGGGGAGACAAAAATGCCGCTTCCAACGATCGTCCCAACTATAATAGCGACTCCTTGTAGAAGTCCCATTTCTTTTTTCAGTGTCACTGCATCTGTCCTTCCTGAGGAGTCCGTATTCGTGTTAGAATTCATGGGTTCTTTTTCAGCTGGTGTTCCTTCGTTTTCGGCCATTGTCATGTTATGTTGGTTTCAGTCTCTGTTGAGCACGTTTCCCTTGGTGTTTTTTCGTGAATGATAAAATGATCTCTTCGAAGTCAGTCCTATTTGGATCGTTTCTTCGGATAATACCAAATGTGTCCTGTGTTCTTGACGAATGTATTTATGACAAAATATGTTATATTCCTCGATCCACGCGCTTGCGCTCCAGCTCTAGTATTCTATCTCGGGAAATGTGCGCCAACAATCACTATTCTTTTGTAAATGGAGTACGGTTTGGCTTACTTCCTCCACACAGCGCGAAACGGCAACGAGTTCACGAAGGTGGAGCTGAATAAGTTCATTAACTTTTTTCCTTTAATATTATAAAAGTCAATCAGAAGAAGTTTATGATGGAAAACAAACTTACAGATTCTAAACTCCACAAAACTCTCTGGAGAACTGACATATTCATACCATGTATGTGTATCTATAAAAGCATACTAGGTATTTTAAAAATTATTTGTATTGAAATTAAGATATTTAAAAAGTGGAAGTCTACTTATGCACATTTTCTATGTTATGTCGTCCCTCGTTTCGATCTCACGCTCAGGTATCCTATCTTAGACTTTCCCGCCAAATCGAATATTCTCCTTATTATCGAATCATCTCGCTCGATCTACACGTCACTCGATGTTTTTTTATCATTTCCAATTAAATAATTTAGTTCTGAGTGAAAGGTCAGTCATTTAAACAGCCATGTCTTCCTGTACAGTCAATATGAATACCAACATGACGTATTTTTCTTTGAGGTGTTATATTCCCGCATCGTAATGCCCTGCACCCCCCCCCCCCCCCAACACACACACACGACTGGAAGATAGGCCGATGCAAAGTATAAAACAACATTTAATTTCAAAACCTTGCTGTAAAAAAAAAGTCAAGTGACATTATGTTGTAATTGTACGTCGTTCAAAAATCGCTGAGGGGGAGCATCGGTGCGGGGAAGTAACGATGCGAGGCCGTACACAAAGAGATACTCCTTTAAAACTATGACTTTCGGACTAATAAAAAAACGGATATTGTCCCCTTGAAAATCACAAAACACTGAGAAGAAATTACTGGCACTTTCATTACACGTGCAAGAACCCAACCATCTAATTCTTTGAAGTGCCCTGATAAGCACGGGCTCTTACAACATGCTGGCGTCCAAATTTTGCGCAGAATCTCACGTGCCACGCAAGTCCTTCTTGCGAAATTTGGCGTTTGCAGACAGCCCGCAAACACGTACGGAGGATATCGGACATGTCCAAAAGATTCTACGAATAATCTGCGAATAGCGAGGCCGAAAGCGTAATTAACTTGCTTCCCTCGCAAGGAGTTTGCAAGTGAGACGTGCGTGGTCCAAGACGCACGTTGCAAGCAATGGAGGAGCAAGTGCCCTTTGCGTGTTGAGTATGGCGCACGCCCTCACAGGTAACGAGCAAAGTCGAAAGCACGACGGGAGTGCGTCGAACGTGCGTCATCCACACGCCAGGAGCATAAAAGACGTGCTCAAGACGCACGCTTGTGTCTCGACAATTAACGTCGATTGTGCAACG